TTTCAGATCCGAAATAATAATTTCAACATATATTCAGAGCCCATTTCGTTCCAAACTGATGCAAATACAAATTTTCTTATAGACAGTGAAAACTGGATTAACTAAACGTTGTCCTAAATGTGCATTGTTTGCCAAAACCCTGTAGGTACTTTGTATACCAGTATATTTCGTTGCTCTGGTAATCCGATTATTATACTCGATACAAACACACCTGACAATTCATACCAACAAATAAGCTAAAATGGTTATATCTGAAGTTGAGGAAGTATTTATAAGATACAGAGCCCAAGAAAATAAAATAGACAATATTTTACGCAATAAGTAAGTGATTACACATTACTTTATATATTATAAAAGCATACATTTTCAAAAGATCGTTTGCCAAATTCATTTACGTAATTAAAATACGGGATGGAAAAAATTTACGGGCGTAAAAGTGGAAAAATGTTTGTCGCTATTAATCGCTATTAATCTAAAATATTCGATTAGATCGAAAGCACTCCGCCATACTTTATTTTACATATTTTTGCACAGTTCAGATACATATTTCCATTTAGCTTAACTTAAATGTGGAACAACCCTTTCTGACTGCACTGCTAATTTGCTCGAATTTTCCAGTGCAGTTAACTAATAACTAGTGAATGAATATGTGCGACTATGAATTATGTGCGACTAATCACGTAAACTTAGGATTCCATATATTACTGAAAATTTCCGATGCTATTGCAATTTACAACGATTTGCCGATGTTTTATATATGTACATAATCGGCTCGATCTTAAAGTAAAAAATATGTATTAAAATCGAAGAGCATCAAAATCGCCTACAGTTAATAACTAAAATTCCAAACTTGGCATTAAAGGTAAGGATTCAGCATAACTTCCGATAAGAAAAATAATTCAGCCTAATTTCTATACATATTTGAAGCTTGCTTCAATCAAATGGGTTAACAGATTTTCAAACTCAATAATTATTTGCCCATATTTTGAATGCATAAAATGATGTGCGAATACCTATATGTTCGGTAGTACCCAGGATCGAATATCTGATATAGAACTGAAACAGTATCCTATAGGAAAAATTCATGTTTGGCAATTTTTTAAGGTTTTAATTGTTGTCTGTTGTCTATTGTCTCAGTCTTCCTCTTGTCGTCTGCCAATACTGCTAAATTAATCAAAAAAGGCCATGTTATTGACTTCAAAGTACTACTGTCCAACAGCTAGTAAATCACGTTTTCTATAGATTTGGCTTCCTCAATAACGGGAGTTCCCGCAATGAGACTTTGCATAGATATGATGTTTCGTAAACGAAATGTTATTATTATAAAAAAAAATGGTACCAAACAAAGCAACAAATCTTTCTTATCCCATTACAGTGATGAAGCTGCAACGAAAGCAACTGATATAAACTTCACAAACCTACAAACGCAAAATATATCTGCAGACGAAGCAAAAACTCGTAACACGCAAATTTTGAAGGTATTGGAAATTTATGTCTTTTTATTTAAGCAAACCAAAATGCAATACAAGAAAATGTGCTTGTCTATTTTTTAGGAGTTGGAGTTTATTAAAGGCAACCTCAGATCGAAATCAATTTTCAGCCCCACTGAGCTGCATTGGGAAAAAGTATGTGAAAAATATCAGAACAATCCCTCACTTTCCGTTACAACGTGGCATTGTCATGTTCCAGTTTTTGTCTAGAATTTTCTAGAAAGTGACAATAAATGCTTCTATTAGCTTGATATGTGTTCAGTATTCTACCCCCTAATCCAGGCGTGGCCAACACGTCTTCTGCGATTTACCGTTTGACCACAAAGGTTTTAAAAGTGTCCAGCAAAGCTTTTACTTTTATTACTGTTAGATACTGTTTAAAATTCTGCATTCCATAATTTATTGTTACAATAATAAGTAGACTATACAGGGTGTCCCACCGGGAACCGCCGCGCTCGATATCTGGTAAACTATAATGGGGAGACATTTGAAAATTGGACAGTGTGTCGAAGTCATTGGGGGCAAGCGATCTAAAATATTTTAAAGATGGCCACACTTCCGGTTATAGCGGAAGTGTAGGTATCAACTTGCTTATTTTAAATGAAACACCCTATATATTATTTCATTTTTGAATTTTACTCCAAATTCTAAATATATTTCATGTATAATATCCATAATATTTCAATATAACTCTAAATGCTTTGTTTATTTTCTCCATTTATTTCATTTGTGAGTTTAGTCTGCAAAGTATCTTTTGATTAGCTAGAGTGGTATTGTTTTTGAAAAAAATGATCATTATACCTAGTCAGACAATATCTGGTTCTTCATTAGTTTTCTCATTTGTTTGGTCTCCTACACCTGACGAATATCGCTCTTTTGGAAAAAAAATATATGTTAAAAAATGAAGTCCTTCTGGACTGAGTAGTTCGGGTAAGGATTTAACATACGAAAATAAATAGAGATTGGAAACACATTTCACACTCACACTTTTTTGTGAATTTAAAGTCGATTTTTTCAAAAGACCCACACAGTCTTTAAAGAGTAGGTACCTAACTTGAAATATTTATTCTCAACTGTTACCTGTTACTTACAGTACGCTTGGTCAACAATTCCACAGCTTTAATTATAAGTCGTGTGAATATAACTTATCACCTTTATAAAAGTCGTAAATGTATAAAAATAGTTTATAGCAGAAAGGATTCCGGTTTTATATCATAAGTTGAGCTACATTTGTACATGGGCCTTGTGGCGCAACGGATAACGCGTCTGACTACGGATCAGAAGATTCCAGGTTCGAATCCTGGCAAGGTCGCAAATCTTTTTGCGCTTCGATTAATTTAATTAATTTTTTATTTACTCCAAAGTGAGGAATTACTATTTTCTTCTTCATCCCTATCCAGTAATCAAATTTTCCTGAGAAACACGAAAATAATTTTAAAAAATCTAAGTAAGCAATGAAGTTTTTCATTGTTTTCGTTATTCACACCTCTCCCATTCCAAGTTCAGATAAGGTTTCATATATCAATTTTTCAGTTTGACAATTGAACGTAAGGCTTTTGTAAATGTTTTGATGTCGATTTGATTTTGTATTTGATTGTTTGTGTTTTGAATTTAGGAAAAATTAAAAATCTAATGAAATCAATTAGGACAATCAGCATTATCAGTGTTGCAAAAATGTGTAACTAAAAATAAAACTACCCAAAAAACGCACATGAAAAAATTAATTTTCAGCTTCAGAAAATCATACAATCTATTTATCTACAAGGTGCTTTTTGCAAAAAACTCAAATCGTCCCCAATGTCTTAAATTATACTGAGTGAAATCTAATATCTCTACAAATCTAAATCGTTTGGGCAGGATTATAGGCGACGTGTTAACGTGCTATCTTCCAATAATGAAAAAAAACAATAAACAATGCGATTATCCGGACGAATCACAGCCCCTGAAAATCCCGACCACGAATCGATTAGCAAAAAGGAATTTGTTTAAATTTTTAAATTTGGAAACAACAGCCCGAAATCTAAATGGTTTGGCCAGGATCACACGCAATGTTTTAACGTGCTATCCTCCAATAATGCAATAAATAGCAATAAACAATAAAAAGTGCAATTATTCGGGCAGATCCCAGCCTCTGAAAATCCCTACCACGGTTTAGCCAAAAATAATTTGCTTACATTTTTAACAAACAGGTGATTTACCGACAGCTGTATTGTAGCTGTATTGAAAAATCTGTGTTATTAAAAACTCAGTGATTTGATTGGATAAAACTTTTAATGCTTCTGGAAAACTCAACTCATTTCAAGTTAAGGGTTTATAGATTAATAATCCTTCTTACCTGTTTTTGCAAACTGGCCCCCCCTTCTCCATTGTCTATACAATAAACATAAAAAAGCACACAAAGTTGCAAATAAATGTGGATTACCCTCAGCAATAGCAGGTCAGATGGTCGACCGTAATAGACTGACTAAATGTTCAGCTTTCCGATAAAACTCTGCGAAATTAAGGTGTTTATTACATAATAAATGCACCGAGCTACAGAATTCACATAATCGTTTGCTCGCTGGCCCTTTGGGTGACTCGTTGTATTGCTATGCTGTTCGGTTTCAGTTTTTTTGCTATTGACGACTTTCAAGAGATTTCCAGTACGCGATCGAACTGGTTTGGATATTTAGCGTAAAGAAAGTTGATTTCTCTGGTAAAAATAAACAAATATCGCCACAATTTTTTGCAGATCCACCAGAACAAAGTAAACCATTCGCAAAATATGCCATGATTTATGAATGCTTCACATTGATTGCACTATTAAGAGCGACGGAAAATTCGCACTTTTATTCAACTGCACGCTTTCTTTTGGAAATTCATAACTTCCCTTGGTGAGAGGAGAGAAGACTTGGTGTGGTTGACAGCGCTTAAATTCAGTATTCTAGTGCTGCAGTTGTTAGTGTTGAACAGGCTTTTTCCGATCCCTTACCTATGCTGAAGTTTCATCATCAGTAAACACCGATCTGAATGGGTGTTTACTGATAATTTAAGCACAGTTCGCTGAAAACTGAACACTGTTCTAATCCTGTTTTACCCAAATAAAATAAAATAAGAAAGCAAATGATACTTTGAACACATTTATTTAAACATATTAGCACATTCTTTCCGGTTATAAGTAAGTTATAAACTACATCAAAATCCAATTATCAGTATTTCAATCAAGTGAGTACCACTAGCTTAATGCAGTGGAAATTTATGTAAATGATCTACACGTTACTATGTAAGTATTAAATAAATCAAATGAGTTCAACATCCGTTGGCGAATTTGTCGATATGAGTACTAATTAACAAATTTAACTAAATGTGAGTAAATTTCACATTTGCAATAAAGACACTCTAATTATGTAGTATGTGTAAAAATAATAATAAATATTAATAGTATTTAGATAAAACATAAAAAACAAAAACAAGTAAGATTTTAAAAATCCAATCACCGTTTATAATAAAGCTACTAAAACTATTAACATTTCCTAATAAATCACCGACTGGTAAAAATAAGGATCAAATAAATGATTCGGTTCACTCTATTCAAACAACTATTGGCATATTTTAAGTTTCATCAACATTTTAAACCCATTCCACTGTTAGCCAATAAATATAAATTATCTAGGACATCTAATGCATTTCTAAGATACTAGAAAATTATGGATTATTTCAGATACCGATGAGCCATCATTTAGATGTAAATGATGTGTACCCTCTACCACATGCCTTTGAACAATCTTAGCTTGATTTTCGATTGTGTCCAAAATAAGGTCGTAATGTGCAGGAACATCAGGCTTGTGACCGTGAACGGCCTTAATATTCATTACCTATAAAAAATAAAAAAACGGCTCAATCCAGTTTGCTGAAATCTTGCACGTTATTGGTGCCAAAATCGAGTAATAAAATAAAAAACATTATCAAGCATTAAACAGATGTGGAAATCAAATGTCGATGGTTGGCAGATTTGTGATCAAGTGAGCAGGCGGAAACTTTTCATTTCTGAAGACAGAAGGTTCAGTTATAACGTATGTTATAAGTTAACTACTTTCAAATAAGCTTTAATATCTTCTCAAATTTAATGACGGTCACCTTGAATCACCATGAATGATTCGTCTACGCTATCAATATTGATGATTTCCAACAAAACTGTATTTTTAACGATCTTGATTAGCAATAAATAAGTTCAATATACTATTCTGAAATAGCACCAATTCGACTGAAAATACTCACACTATTATAAAATGTAAATCCCCGTTAGCACAAATATTACAGTACTCACCTCGCAAACAATTCTTGATGCTAATTCAATTACTTGCTCAATAGTCATAAACCCAAGCGCTGCAAGCTTCAATCTAGGATCCCGAGTAAAACAATAACCATCTCGGTTTTTAGCAGGTAACATACCCCGTCTTAACAAGATTTCACAACCTTTGCGACTAACGGATCCTAGTAATGCAAAAATTACATACTGAGTGTTTAACAATATATTAAGTCCGTAAAAACATTAAACAAATAGGTTGGCTAAGATGCCATGGTATGTGTGACTTATATCCTGCATTTTTTAGCAGATTTTTTAAAATATTAGTGGACAGCAGGCACGTTCTGTATCTATACGAAAATTTTGAATTTATTTAGGAATTAAGTTACTTATTTTAAATGGAACACCCTGTATAATGTTTTTCTTTTCTGTTCCTTTCTTCATTTCCAATAACGTTTATTAAAAGTTTTTTTACCCTACTATATGCGTTTCTGAGCAAAAAATAGTTTCTCTCAAAATTTTACCATTAACAGGGTGTCGCCTAAAATTGAACATCTTTTCAAAGATGAAAGAGTAAACCTCAACATTTCAGTTGCAAAATTAGATATCGTTATACTCGATAATAAATTATCGGAAAAATAAATCTAAATAGATCAAAGTGAAAAAATAACATATTTTATTCTCCGTCAAAAAAAAACCGGAAAAACTTCATTATTTTAGATGCTGATCATGATAACGTTGCTGATTCATTCAATGGACAGGCTGGAACATTTACTATCTGTCCACATACATATGTTGTCCCTATACCTAACTCGAGTAGTCTTAAACTTGTTCTGATTAGTCGAATACGTATTTCAAATATCTAGTTATCCAAATTCGAGATCGATAAAATAAAAGGTTCTATAAAGATGGTAAGTTCTTAATCCGGACACATTGCATGTAACTAGAATAATCTTACGATCTGAGGTGTTTCATATTTGTTATTAAAAACGTTTTTTAGACATCCGGCTGCGACATTTGGCCTTTTGGGCTCTATAACCAACTGTTTATTCAATAACATATTGTACCGTGGATGGCCGAGTATCAAATTCTTTTTTCTGGTTACAACTTTTATTCCACTCGGTACAACTTTAACTACGGAACAGGAACAAACTAACTTCAAAGTTACCGTCAACTTCACTAACAATAACAATAACACACGGAAAACACGCGTTTCCGGCTCCCGGAGTTTAACTTCTTCTGCACTTGGTCGCTCCTGTCACTTTACTCTCCCCGGTCTGGTTCTCGTCGTCGCTTATATACTTTTCTTCAGGTATTCCCGATAGTTCTAGAAATCTCTAGTCCAGGTGCGAAACTTCCCGCTTGTCAGTGTCATATTTGACAGTAAATGGGGCCCAAATGGGGCTCCCATTTACTGAAACACCATGAATTTCGATTCCCCATTCCAAACGTGAGTACCCCAGGCCATTTCCGTTACAATATGATACAATATTCCCTAATTTTACACGGTGTAACCTTTACTTGTAATGTAAAGCAGAATAACATACGTTTTGTTCGCAAAATTATTCTTTTATTTCGTTCACAGAAAAAAATAACGCAATTTATTCGATATTTAAAAAAAAAACTTTAGCACAACTGCTATTATCTTAAAATTATTTTCTTTGTGTAACTCATTCATATTTACCTTTGTGAGCATCCTGTAAAATGTCCACCATCACATTATAGGGATAGGCTGGAACTGAATCGGGTTCTAAATTCTCGTAACTTAAAAATTTATCTATAGCAGGTCCTAATACATCACAGCACTTTTTCACATTTCGAATCGAGGGACTAGCTGAAACAATACAAATTTGATTTACTATATTTAATTTAAACTGCAAGTCAAATGTTCAGTAGCATTCAATCTACAGTCGCGTAGAAGGTAAACAACACACATTAATATAAAAATATGACAATGGCTGCTGAAAATGTTGACTCTCGAAAATGAAGCGTTTCCGAACTCCGATTGATATGAACTTTTTGTTTCATTTATGAATCGCTTTGTATAGGTTTGCCATAAATGTTGCAAACTTAGTGTTTATTAAAATTCCATATGGATCAACATCTAACTTCTGAAAGGAAATCTATATTATGCTCTTAAACTTACCAAGATCAATACTAATATACTTTTTCACTTCCTTAGGGTATGCAGCAGCATACAAAAACGCAATGCCTCCGCCCAGCGAATGGCCGAGGATTACTATGTCTTTCCACTTGAAGTACTGTACTATTCGCCTCAAGTAGTGGATTCCATCCCACCATATGTAGTATTTGTGGCCTAAAAATCAAAAAGTGTTCATTTTATTATAATGTTTCGGAGTTGCCTTTTCCAGCGTGTTTCTATGTTAACAATTCGACTGTTTTATAATACAAATGTTAACTAGAAAAAGCTTTTTTTTGTTTATTTGACTTTAAATGATGATTCCAGACAAATTCATACCGGGAGGTAAGTGTGAGGAAAATCCATGTCCAGGTAGATCAATACAGATAATGGAGTGTCCTTTTTGCTTCAGCAGAGGAGCCAAATTATCGAATGTTCCACAGTTGTCCTGCCATCCATGTAAAGCTACTATTGGTTGCACTCCTTGGGAACCCCACCACTTTGCTATAACGAAATAAACATTCAAACATGTCTAATAATAGTTGTCATTAACGATTATTGTAAGTTATTGTAGTATGGTGTAGTAAATTTGCAGGGTGAAATGGGCGTCATTTCTGTTAAGGGCTTACTGGGCTCCGTTAAAAGGTCTGGGAGTTTTTCTTCAATTTAAATGTTTAGTAGAATATTTATTCGATAGTCGTTGTCACTCGTATTCCAAAAACCATCCAAAATCAAAACTCACTTTTCAATTTTTAGCTGAGAATAATGTAAATGTTTCGATTGAATATTTCAATCTAAGGACAAATGAGTGCCTATACAACAATGTTGCCCATTTTAAACCATTTAGCTAATTATTAAAAAGCAGCTCAAAATGTAACGTTGATAATTTTGCGTTTTCCTTGGCAAACAATATTTATCTGAATGTATCCCCGCCTTTCTGTTCCAAAAGTTAAATATAAAAAGATCTTCAAACCAAAATTCTTCAATTAAAAATGTATGCAAGTTTGGGCAAAGTAATGAGTTTCTGACAATCCTACATCTTGTGCGATGGATATACGCATATACTGACGCAAATACAAAAACAGTAAAATTATTAGAAATACTCAGGTCATGTCATCATTAACACGACCCTGACCGTGTGATGACAAAATTCAACAGACAAAAAAAATTGGTTTATTGTTATGGAATACGAGTAATTATCCAAATGACATCAGCAAAATTAATTTGTATGCATACTCACCTAAGTAATTAACGCTCAAAAAATACTGTCTATGTTTTGTTTGCACAAGATATCAGATAATCTATTAAAATCATTCCAAAAGTGATTATGAAAGTATTTATATACACAGGAAAATCATACATGGTATGATGTTATCAAAGTAGGTGTCCATAAAAATCGTGCATCAAAATCAGAAAATCTATACCTGACACCACTCCCGGGTATAATATCTGTTTAGTTTTCGCGATGTTCGATTCCAAGTGTTTGCAAACGAAAATAATATTTTCACTCATTTTCGTGTGTTCCCATAGAACTTAAGAGATTGCGCATTCATTTTCCGATACCCTGTATAGTGGATTTTGCAACTCAACTCAAACAAAAACCACAACAATTACGACTGAAACGGCTTTTCAATTCTCTATCCAACGATGCCAAAACGAATTCTGTGGCTAGAATGGTTCTTGAGAAACTTGAAAAAAGCAGCGTCATGTTCAAGTGGATTTTGCAACTCAAACAAAAACCACGCAAATCTAAAACTTCTTGAATTCAAGTATTTTTTGAGACAATTGCCAAAATTTCCTTATCGATGGTTCACTTTCTAAAAATTTATTTCTGTCTAGAATGATGTACAAATGAGCGTTCTTGCTCATTTTGCCTCCGAGATATGAGCAAAAACGGGTCGGAAAACATGAACTGAAAACTGAAAACTCGAACTTCTTCACTAACGTTCTTACAACTGAATCGACTTTTCAATTCTCTATCCAACGGTGCCAAAACGAATTCTGTGGCTCGAATGGTTTCTTGAGAAACTTCGAATAAAGGCCATTTAGTTATCTCTGGAATGATGTAAAAACGAGCGTTCTTGTTCATTTTGCTTCCGAGAAACATGCAAAACGGGACGGAAAACATGAAATTTTGCAATAATCTTGCGCCACCCTTGTACAAAAAGACGATCTAATTTTATAGACAACAGAATACTGTATTTTTTCTACATAACCCCCCCTGACTTTAAAGCTGGATCCGCCCCTGAGCGTATTTTGGCCAAATTCACGAATGTGCAAAATATCCTTTTTATGTGATGAATAGACCAGAGTGCGTTTAAGGACTGACCTTACAAAGCTAAAGTAATATGTAATACATATTTCTAAGGCTTATGTATGATATTAAAATATAAAAAATAATAACAATAATTCTAAAAGAAGCACACAATATTATACAATCTAATCTTTCTGCATAAATATACTTTCTAATATCGTTTCGGATTTTGGTACATACGCACTTGGGCTGGCCAATGTTGTATAATTTTAAGCAGTTGAAAATCCAAGTTAATCTTCAATTCCGCAAAATCATCGATAGCATGAGTTCACACCCGAGTGACATGAATATTTTATCGGATTTGTCGGAAACTGTAAAAGCGTGAAATTATTGTAGTTGTTAGCTCAAACCATGAGAAATTTATTGAAAACAATGATGTACTTTTTATTTGCGGGATAATTTAAGTACATATCGCGTGAGGTTCAAAGATTACTAGACAATTCATACGTAATATTATGCAGTTTAACACTGGGGATTGGGGTATGATAAGATGGTAGTTTTTCACATGCTTACGTTTCAGATTGGTTTATTCATCATCAGCATCCAATGAACGAATGAGTTACTTGCGGTTTGGCCCTAAATATAGATTCGCATTGTTTGAATGTTTACATGTCGCACTTTTACCCATTACATATTTTCTCCTGTATCCTACATTCAGGCAATGTTTAATAAAGCTAATATGCAGCCAGTGTTATTGATCTTAATTAACGCTTTCAAACATACCCAAACATAAAGCATTTACAACTGTTGATATGTGAAACATGATTTGTGCTTATGCTCAATTAAATTACAATGGACGGACGTGCTGCACCCAGACAATATTTTTAATTATCGATGAACTCCTTACAATCAAAGCATGAACGATTGCATTTGATTGAATAAACCTGTGTATTTTTCGCAATTCGATTCGTCAAAAGTGATCAGTTTTTTTAGAACATACAATTTCAATTAAATATTATAAATTCGTTGGCTTTGTATACAATGTCCAATATTCAACTACCTACCTATTACACATTCTAATTCCATTTAAAAATTTTAGATTTTCAGCCAATAAATTTTCATGGATATTTTAGAAGTGCTTCATATACATTTAAAATAAAATCAGTCGTAACTTATCTAGTCTAATAACAAAGAAAACGGCTATATAATATTACAAATCTCAACTTAAAAAAATATTTTCATTAAAATCGAACCATTGAAACTATAGGGTTTTGCATAGACATAAAGTATGCACAAAAACAGGAACTAATAAAAGAGTATTAGTTAGAAGTTCCTTACGTTTTCATAAACGTATGTGGTTTCGCTAAATTATAATTTTTTGATGTCACATTTTCAACTTTTCTCGTTAGATTACGAACAAGTAGAACATACAATTCAGTTGCCAAAAAAATATTCACCTACCTGCTATATGTCCCCAAGGGACTGGTATCTTAATTTCTTCATAGTCATCTATCTTCTTTAACTGAAGGCCTTGGAAAAATGGCTCAATTAGTAATTGAAAGTATTACCAGCAAAAATTCTGAAAGAATACCTTCTGAAGCGCCATTCACTGCACTGACATCACTCATGATCGCCGACAATCACCAACAAATTCAACAAGAAACTATCACATATAACAGACCAGATAACACTTATGAAATTCTATGGAGACGAAAGATTAAATATTGTATAATGACGATAAAAGATACACTGTGCTCAAGCTTAGTATTCTTGTAAAATAAGTCGTTATCACATTATGATATTCGTTTCTGCACGATGTTAAGTATTGTACGTAAAGTGAAAATCTTTATCTCTGCTATATGTTCGATAGATGACATCAATCTCATAACTCATAACCTCAACATCGCTAATTAATCAAATATGAGCAAAAACATGAAAAAGACCGCGTTCCAATATCATACTCAGTTTACTTTTGTAACTGTATACAAGGTGAATCGGAATTAAATGCATCAAATTGTGACGAGAACGCTTTAAAGTGATTAAATTCCTCACTCGAATTATGATCAGAACCGCTCCACCATTCAAAATTTCTTCTACTTAGGGTGTAACCGGAAGCGTCGTTAAAGTGTTTTATTAGTTAGATCGCTTCCTCCAATGACTTCCGTATTCGGTCCAATTTTCGGTCGGACACGCTGTATATCCTTCTAACAAGAGCAGAACCCAACAGCAAAGAGAAAACGTTTGTTTTTTGTTTCAATGTCAACCTATAAAAGATAATTTTTCTATTTTCATAGACAACAAAAGACTGAATTTCTGTTGAATGGCCCTCTTAAAAGCCGGATCCGCCCCTGTGATTATGATCTTTCGCCGAACTAAAAATAAATTTATCTTTTATACACCCTGTATACCCTTCTGGTTGAAATCCGTTCTCCGTTGATGGCGCGCTTACAGTGTATTCGAATCGAAACTAGCTTCATGCGTGTATTTGGAAATTGTTTTCTGCTAGCCGGGCCGTAACCTCTAAATGATAAACTCAATTAAGTGCACGTTTTTTTAATTGTGATTCTATATAGTGCCTTCCATAGGAATATATTGTAAAGATTTTTTAAATCTGCAACAATAACAATGACGAAAGTAAAGAAAAACCTAAAAAGGAAACGTGTACAACTCACGGAAGTCGAACCGGGTCCAGAGCCCCTACCTACGGTACGATATTCCGATCAACCGATTGAAAAGAAGGTAAATTAATGCATTTATCTTGCCACCTGAAGAGGTGAAATTGCCTCCGACTGTTTTGAAAAAGTAGATCTTTCTGGCTGGGCTGTATTACAAGTATCTTTTCCAGAGAAAATGGACAAACAAACAAAGAGTTCTTATATTCGCAACAAGAGGAATTAATCATCGCGACAGGCACTTAATGGAGGATATCAAGAAACTGATGCCACACCACAAGCCGGAAGCCAAAATGGAAAGATCCAAGACACTAAGCGTGGTAAATGAAATGTGCGAAATGAAAAACTGCAATAAGGCCCTGATGTTTGAGGGCAGAAAGAAGCAGGACTTGTACATGTGGCTGTCCAATGTACCGAATGGACCCAGTGTTAAATTTTTAGTTGAAAACGGTAAGGTTTATTTTGTAATCCGATGCGCTTATACTAATAACGCTTTTTCTCAGTCTCAACCATGGCGGAACTAAAGCTCACAGGCAACTGTTTGAGGGGATCCCGACCTCTTTTGAGTTTTGATCCCACTTTTGAAACTGAACCCCAATACAAATTACTAAAGGAATTGTTAGCTCAGGTATTTGGAGTGCCGAAACATCACCCAAAGAGTCAACCGTTTTTCGATCATATTTACACGTTCTGCATTCTGGACAAGAGAATTTGGTTTCGGAATTTCCAAATATTATCTGAAGATGGGGCCGTTGCCGAGATAGGCCCTCGATTTGTTCTAAATCCAGTAAGTTTCAACTATTGTTTGTAAAGTCTTGATACTGATTTATTACGTTATTTCAGGTAAAGTTGTTTTCTGGAAGCTTTGGAGGCGTTCCTTTATGGGAAAATTCACACTATGTCAGCCCTGCTAGGTACCGCCAGCAAGTGAGATTGGACGCCAAGTCTAAATATGTTAATCGGGTACAACAAAAGGCTCATGCTGAAGCCACAAGACCAGGAGGTGCAGGTTACAAACTCACTCCTTTGGAGGACATATTTAGAGGAGATAATGTTAAGAAAGCAGGCGAATTGAAAAAGAAAAAATAAACGGCCTTTCTGTTTATTATTTTATTATATTATAACACAGACGTATCAATCTGAAAGCATTTGTGCTATTTTTTGGAATTAAAATTTTAAGAAAATCTACAAATATTTTGTAAAATTCTAATTTTTTAATAGATTTGAAAAACGAAACGTCAAAGCAAGAAATAAAATGGTTTTACGCTGAAGTAAAATTGTTATATTATAAAAATTTGGAAATTTAATATTTTTCAAATAAGTCAGGGTCGCTTTCATTTATTTTTTTTCCAGATTATTTTTACTTTGCAAATATTCGTCTATTTCTAAGGGATAGACTACTTCAGTAGAGAATTATTCCGTTTTGTAATTATAAAAAATATTCAAAATAAATTCTTAACGAGTTTACAGTATTTAGTTTCCGCAATCACTCCCGGTTCAGATGCCTCGGGGCAATTTCAACAGATGTCACACAAACCCGTTGTTGACATCTTGACATTGTACATCATATGTCATTTCCTAATTTGCATTTTGTCCCCACCACACACCCCATGTCATTTAGTAAACAATAATAAATTAATTTAACCCCGTACCACGAGTTAAATCAATTGCTTAAAGTAATTTGCTTCGGTATAAATACATCACTAATTGCTGTTTAAATCAGAAAGTTAATTGCGGCTGGGCTGAATATATTCCGTTATCTCCAGAGAAGCCTGAAAAATGATCGACAAATAAATTACAGTCTATCAATGCCCTTAAGTACGCGAATTTTAAACAATGTCTGGTCACGCGGTTGTTGTTTGGGAATACGAAATTAGAACGGGGTACTGGAAACCGTACACTCCAGAAGTAAGTCAACATCTCGAAAGGGCCAATGCTAAACAATTGACCAGGGTCATACTTTCTGATGCTGATCCAGAGCTGCAGAACTACTATGTGAATTTAAGGACACTAACACAGGAACTGGAATATTCAGGTAAATTACTCTTAATCGATTGGTTACAGGCACTCGTTAGCTAGTAAGTAGGGCGGTATCCACATTTTGTTGTGGAACGTTTTTGTGTTAAAACTGTAATCGAGCAAATAAAACATTCTGCCATAGTTATTAATATTCTTAAAAAGTATGCCTACTTTCTGCTCGATATAAGTATGCAAAACAGTTTTGCCAAGCATGCCGGATGTCACGGGAAATCGGGGCATGCTTTCGGATCCAGGCCGTCAGAGAAATTTCACAAGTTCTTTTAAAAAAATATGCTCTCCCTACCCAGAAATAGGCCCCTAAAAACGACGCTGAAAATTCATTGTTAGAGTTTATAGTAGATTCAAAACTCATTTTGCAGTTTGAGTTCGCCAGATAGAATTTTACATATTAATGCTGATTATTTTAATACCATTTATGAACACAAGAAACCTATTTTTAAGAACTCTTGAAACTTGGTCTATAAAACAAGGTATCCAGGTTTGATATATTGGTGCTGTTTGAAAGAAGCTCTATATATGCAATGCGAAAGATCTGAAACATTTATGATACCCGCTCATCATTGATAAAACGTTTTAATTGATTAAATCATAATTTCAGATATAGTGGTTCCAATTCGCCGAAAATGCTATCCACCATCATCTCCAGCTGGTAAAGGGGCAAAGTGGGAATGCGTCGGTTCAGATCATGACTGGCACGCATTTGATATGGATATTCAGTGCCTCATTGAAGAAGCGTGGGCAAGGGGCGATCAGACAATTGATATGAGTAAAACTCATTTGGGTTTTCCTTATGTCATAAACTTTAGCAATCTTACTCAGATGTGGCTTGCCAACGGATATGTTAGGAACGTGAGAAGAGTCAAGCAAGCCCCATATCCACTTGTCAAAGTTAGGCTGGAGGAGTTAGCTCCAGTCACTGGTAAGCATTAAACCGAACTATGATTGTAACACTATTAGTACCTTTAATTCACGAAATTATCGGGGTTTTACTACATTTCCAACAAGAAAGTTCTTAACGCTCTTCGTCATTATGTACATGTCATACTTCCAGTTAGACAATGGGTTGGATGATAATTATCATAATACATTGATTGGGAAACTACAACCTATTGAATGGCCACAAAGGTCACCAGAGCTAACGCCATTTGATTTTTTTCCTGTGGTCACATCTAAAATCCCTTGTTTGTAAAACTCAATTTAGCAATTACCGAAAAGACTTATTCAAGCATGTGAGTCTATATCCATAAAAAATTTCACTAATGTCCTTCAGGAATTTGAAGACTTCTATTATTGTATTGTAATTTTTGTGAATTTCATAAATTTCGTTTAAAAATAATCAAGAGCTACTTGCTTATGTTTAATGAGAATGACTTATACCGGTGTTAGTTTTAATATTGACACATTATTCTTGGAAGATATGAATACATTGCGCAGAAAATGTGGTTTGACAGAAAATTCAATAATTTTAGATTAGTCTTAACCTCGATATTTTACTATATGTTTTTGTTTAGGACGAAGAAATGCAGATCTCAGAAAATCATACACAAATAATACTCACCAAAATCAATCTGCTAAAGTTATTGGAACCAGCGCCGCTTTAAACTCAACATCAGAACCTAGTACTAAGAAGTCTAGCACCAAGAAGAAATCGTCCAAATCGACAAAGAGCACAAATGATACTCCCACAAACCTTGCTAGAGTTATTCTGAGCAATTTAAACATTTTTGGTAAAATACTTTTTTTTCTTTAGTAACTATTCGATTTAATATAAATATTTTGTATATTTCAGGTCATAAATCAGCAAGCACAAATCAAACTTCTAATTCACAAAGTATAGAAAATCGCACGTTGCTAGACGTGGATAGTAGCAGTACTCAATCAGGCCGAAGGCCTAGTTTGGATACCGTATCCACTTATTTAAGCCAAGAAAGTCGTGAAAGTCAAGCTACTGCATCCACGGCAGATTTAATTAACTGCAGTGGAAGTGATGACGGTTTGGAAATTGATAACGTTTCGCTGATTGTCGGTAAGAAATTTAGCCATGTTTTATTGCACATAAGCAAAAAATAACTTTTTGTTTAAAACAGATAGTTGTTATGTTCAACTACATATTTGGGTCTCTGACGATCCGAATATTTAAAAGAACTTGGCTTGCCCATAATTAATTCTAATCTACTGTTTTATAAAAATGGATTGTTTCATATCTAATCCGAATTCACCTTATTACTTTCAGGTTTGGACCCAGCAAGTGCCTCAATATCTCATTTTGTTCGCGTCTCCAAGCCAAGTGAGTGGGCTCCACGTCAGCCTTGTCCATTATGCCGTCAAACTTTAAAACCCACGCTGGTCGTGATAGCTCTTCCATGTAATCATGTGCTTCACTTAGACTGTCTCAACTACTCTTTAAACGAACTACAAGAAGCAGGTTCACACTTACATATTCAATGTTCAGTTTGTGGTTGTATTTATGGAGAAAAACATGGAAATCAGCCAAGGGGAACGATGGAATGGGGGGTTATAGACAGAAGTGTACCTGGATACCAAAACTTTCGAACTATCCAGATTGTGTATAAGTAAGTTTAATATCTATGTCATGATTATGGTTTTTCATTTTATGTTTTTTACCAGCATAAAATCGGGGATTCAAGGTCCTGAGCATCCAAGCCCTGGGAGAGAATATTATGCAGTTGGATTTCCAAGAGTTGCATATCTTCCAGATAATCCTAAGGGCAGGAAAGTATTGAGACTGCTGGATGAAGCATGGCATAGAAAATTAATATTTACCGTAAGTATTTGCAATTTACTTTTGTTGATTAATCGTGACGTTGCCTAATCGAGAAAAACGTATAAGTACTTCTTGGGCTCTCTTGAACTGTGTCGAGCATTTTGGACTATTTAGATTATGTCAATCACTAAATAAAGTTAACGAATTAATTTTGAATTGTAAAATCCACGACGCCCATATTGATTAGATCACTGTATAGTCATCCGGATTATCATCGGTAAACATCAGTTATATATTAAAATAGATTTTGTTTAAATAGCTTTTTTTCTAACAGATAACGAGATCTAATACGACTGGGTGTGAAGATGTGGTATCTTGGAACATTCCGCATAAGACTGAAATAGGACCAAGTAATAACAGCCACAGCTATCCAGATTCTGGATATCTCAATAGTATTTTACGAGAACTGGAAGCTTTAGGCGTGGTTGATGAAGCTAAAGAAAAGCGGTAAATTATCCAGTAAAGATATCTGGTACTTATTGAAATTATATTAATAATTATGGAGTTTTATAAACATATATTTTAGAATGACTTCGAATAAGAGAATTCTGTAGATATTGGTTCATATTAGATAAATTACTTGACTCAATATAGAATGATATTAAATTAAGTTGCAATAACTTCAAGTCTTCCTTGATATTGTAAATATCTATTATTGCAATAGGCGCATCTAGGCGTGTTTGTTTTATTTGAGTTAAATTTTATATTAAGATTTTATTTGACGACTATGAATTTTTTTTATTTTATTAGACGGATTGTAAACATATTTAAGTCCAATTTCGATTATTTTTATATACAATCGACACGTTTTCAAACAAATTACCACAAAAGTATGCTTTTGATATAATTAAAATATGTATACTAATTTTGGTGTCTCTAAACGGTACTTTGAAAATATTTAATCCGAAACATTTGTACTTTTTTATAACAATTCTGATTTTCCAATATATTTTACCTAAATCAAGTTTACCTGGTTTGATCAGCCGCTAATAAAATATCTGTATATAAGAAATTGATATTTTCTATGGCTGGGTCTAAATTTTTGTGAGAACATTTTTTACGCATGTTTTAGAGACACCAAAAGTTGATTTATATCTTTGTAGAATAAAAAATTCGCAACAAAAATTTGATTAATTGGAATTTTACGTGAAATATCCGGACAATTTTGTATATCTAAAATAATTGCAGCTTTATTTGGGTATTTCTTATATAGACTTAATATAAATTGCCCATTTGTTATCTATGCAATTACTCGGCACCACAAATGGCCAAGAGAGATTCTTATAAGAGAAAATTTTGAAGAAGAAAGGGAGGGAAAGTTTAAACACTATTGAGACTGACTTTAGCTAATTGATTATGAAAATCTCATTTCACCAATAAGATTAAAAATAGACAAACTCATTGTTGTATTCCGTGTCCACCGCTTTGATATTGCGATACGTTATTGAAAGACATAATTATAGTCTGATAATATAAGGTATGCAGAAACAGAAGATCTTGGTCAATTAATGTAGACTGTTATATTTAGGATATCTTTGACATTCACAAACTGTTTAAACATTTTAGCTACAGTTATGCTTTTTGAAGTACATACATTCCAATAGATAGTTCAATATGTATGTGAGGGCTTACAGAACACATACGAATATTTTTATAGATCTGTACATTGTTGATGTCGTTTACTAAGACAATACTGAATGAGTACAAAACGATTTACAGATACCCATATAATTTTAAGATTGTATTTAAAAATGTATTAAGCAATATTTTGTTTAACTCGTATAAATATAATATTTAGAAACAGCAATTGATACCATGCAATAGAAAATATATACATATTGGTACATTTTCGCATTTTATTTTTTTTGCTAATGAAATTCGAGTCTTGTGCATAATGGAGGTATAAGAATTATCGATAAGAAGGTGCGTATGATGTTCTTTGAAGAATAAGATTGCAAATTTTAATGCCGATTTAAATATTTATCTTACGCCCTTTATATTTTATTGAAGAGCCGCTAAGATCTTATTTGCAGTGTGTCTGCACTGGCAATGACCCACCAAAGGATACAGATATGTATGTATGTAGATATTTTCTAATATACCTTCTATAATAAGCATACACATTATTCAAAATATTTGTTTTTATATGTACATTTTGGGTTCTAAAAAGTGTCTTTTTTATGCTTGAAACCTAAACGAAAATTAAGTCGGGACTGAAACTAAGAACCACGTCATAAAATGGTTCTTGGGAACCAAAATGTCACGTGTTTGAATCTCAGAACATAAAACCTGATAAGCGCGAGATCTTCTGGCTGACAACAAACATTTATGGACTTCAACATAGTCTTTTGATTAAAGTTCTGTTGTAGATGAATCTTTCAGTGACTAGGTAAGATTTTTTCAGTTTGTCCCAACTGCAGCCTTCGTTCATTATATTAACGTTCGAAAGCACTTAGTATGTGTTGGAGCGATAACAGTTCTACCGTACTTAAAAGTAAAAAATGTGTTGTTAATAATAAAGGTACATTATTTTGCTCACTATCACTGAAAGCCGATAACTTTTTATCACCGTCAAAGGCATTGCATGCCTAGTGTTTTAACTAGGTTGTTTCTTTATTTACGCGACTCCGATATCCATATTGTAGAAGGAAAGGATAGTGTAGTTAAATTATTTATATATTTTAAATATGGAAACGTTATCGCTTACTAGAACTAGTTGACGAAGTCATTTTCGTTTTAGCTGTCGTTCAATGCAGTATTTTAATACCAGCGAAATGGTAAGTGAAATTCGAGATTTAACACTCAACTCTACAAAACCCGTTGGATTTTAACAGTGTAGTGACCCCAAATGTAGTACTAAGTACCCCTAAGTATTAGGTAGTAATTGGCTATTTGCTAAGCCAGTAGCTCAGGATTTTTGAATAAACCGCGAGTTATTAAGACTCCGATCCAAAGATTATCGAGTGTAATTGATAGAATGAGAGCGAATGCTTAAATATCGACGTCTGCGAGCCGGAAATATTTTGGTGGTCTGCTCTTTAAATCTACTTAGCATACAAATAATTTTCAAGCATATAATATTGTTCGTTTTTGTTTGTTTTATAACTGAAACTTCTTTCGATTGGAGAAGCCAAACAATAAATTATTATAAATGAATATAAAACATTAGGTCCGACTGAGAGCTGAACTGGGCATTACCCAGATTTGGCTGCGCCAAATTCTCTTATGATATTGTTAGAATCAATTAATCAAAACTGTCTTGCTCTATTGTTGAGACTATGCACTATTAAGCAAATAGTCGATCTGAAATATTTTTAAATTTTCGGATTCCTTATGAGAAGCAAAAGGCGCAGCTAAAATGCCAGAACGTTTTATTTGGTGGATGAATTCAAGTCTTTTTTTTGGTTGATGCACTGATCATTTATTCACAATTTTGTGTTCTTTGTAAAATTTTGTAGCATTCATAGTTTTTGCAAAAAAAAATATTTCTGTTTTCTTGCCACTTAACAATGTTAGATATTAACTTTTAATATAAACAAATAATATCGCAGTGCTCTTTTGATCATGTGCTTACGGGACACCCTGTATTTTCATGCGATGAAAGTTGAAAAAAAGAAACTGAGACTCCTTCGGTTAATACGTTTGCATGGACTTTATACAGAGTAATTTATAAGGTACATGGAAGATTAGTTGTTGTTTTCAGTTTTCGCAGCAATTTTTAATAGATGAGACGCTTTCACAAATTATTCAGTCATCTCATATTCAACAATTAATATAAATAGAAATATGAAAAGGCTTTATCAATAATGATTTTTACATCTCATAAGTTTGCGGTTTTCAACGAAACATTTCCAATTCAGAAGTCAATATAGATAAACCATTTATTTTTTCGGCAAAATTGAAGTAGCACCTCAATGAAACACAATAAATTTACATTTACATGCGCCTTGGTCATATCTTATTTCGAGTACTTTATCTTGGAAGTAAAATGAGTAAGATTTTTTGAAGCACTAAAGTAGTTAATTTGGGAATAATTTGGTGTACTTTAATAACCATCCCCATACAAACACTTCGAGATGGTCAGAGAAGCATTAACTATTACGTATTGTACATACAAGTCCATAAACCTGTTATTTAGAGAGATTTGCATCTGTTGTTTTAAAGATAAATTTCTTTGAAATGCGGTTTCTGGATCTTAAAGCGTATATAAGGGAAACTCAGTTGATAATCCAACAATTGTGTGTTAGATACACTTTTGTCTTACAGTAATTACCGTAAAAGAACACTTTCTCTACCACAAGTGCCGCTATTAGCTTTTCAGACTGAGCAAACAAGTTTTTGTAAAGAAAACATTATCCTGTCTACAATCCGTAAAAGAATCATGCATATTCAATAATAAACGTCCGTATTTAAAGAAATAAGTAGATAACCGTGGTGAAATAAGCCAGGTAAAATCTAAAATATCTGACTAAATCTGAAATTGAATTTTTTTCCAATTAGATATAACACCTGTCCACCAATAAACAAGATATTCAACACAAAAAATTAAAAGACGAATTTTGAAAATTAATGAGACAAAAAAAGTCACTGAAACACAATAGCACAAATTACAAAGCACTCCATCAGGTCATAGCTTACTCTTTGCATTTTGACTCCCCAACGTATCAATTATTTGTATTGTAAGACTTCCCCTATTTTATGCTGGCATACATACAAATTCTACTCAAAGATTCAGACTTGATGTTTCGTCATAAATCAAAAAAGGACTGTTAAGCAAACATGAAGCTTAACATTCGCATTGCGCTTTTATTTTTTTCCACAGGGTGTTCACAAATTTATGTAAATAATCTTGGTTTCACCTTGTGTAGTGACCAACCGCTTCACAGTTTTGAAAAAATCATATTAGTTAATACTTTAGATGAAAATGCAGATTAAAAAATTTAGATCAATACAAATTGAGTTAGTTAGTGCATGTCGCTTTCGCTTATCAGAAGTGCCTTCACTATGACTTCAGCATTCATATGTTAAGTTGGCGAACGTAGTTTTGTTTTGTCGAAGATATCATACAGAAAATACAATAGATTTATATAAAATTTACTACAAACTACAAATCTATTGTAACATTTCAACAAATATTATTATTATACTTAATTCATTATTTTAAACAGAATTTTGGTGCAATTTTATCACCACTCAAATAAAGACTGCTTTATAGCAGAGTCCAAGAATCTTCGAGAAATAATTTCAAAGTATTTAAAAATTGTTTCAGATCCAAACAAGCATAGAACCAAAAGTTTTAGAAAAGGAATATCGCCCATTAGAATCAAGCTGAATAAAACCCAATTAAAAATGTTCCTTACTGAGCCTTAAATTTTTACTAGTAATTTTGATGAAAATATGTACGAATTAGATGAAAACCTTAACAATCATATTAAAATATTCAAGGTTTTCAGTTAAAACAAATTCACGGAGATAAACAATATCAGATTATAAAAATTTTATGGCTCGTATACCTAGTCGGGAGTGTGAACACAATAGGTACTTTAAATCTACGGTTTGCTCAACGTGATTTGATTTAGTCCACGTTTAGATTTTCGTAAGGTTTAGCCTGGATACTACCGAGTTGCCTTTTGCTTAGATGCAGAAATGATTACCAGTTTTGTTAAGTTTCAGTCAGTGAATGTAAGTAAATGAAATTCATAATTTATAACGCATCCATGTAGGACGAGGATTGGTATTCTCCAAGAAGAGCTCGTTATCAGCATCGCTGAATGGGTATCTTAAATACGAGAGTCGTTTGATACGTCAGTGAATTTTTTCGGCCAAAAAACGTTTTATTTCTCAACATAATCTTCTTTTAGCTCGATTCACTTAGTCCAGCGCTTTTCCAATTTTTTTATCCCTTCCAAATAATATAATTTCTCGAGGTCCTCAAAATATTCGCTTGTTTCAATGATGACCCTTCTTCATTAAACCCAAATCTCTTACCGTCCAGCCATTTCTTCCGGTTTAGAAACAGGAAATAGTCTCAGGGGGCTAAATCTGGCAAATATGTTGGGTGGGGTAGCAGTTTGTAGCCTAATTCATCGATTTTTGCCATTGCGACTACACACGCTTCAAGTCAACATCGAATCTGTTCAAAAGCTCCGAATAATATGCACCAGTGATCGTTTTACCCTTTTCAAGGTAATCGACGTGAATGTGAATCTATATAAGACACCACAAGGTTCTTGCAACTCAGCTGAATGTGATTATTTTGCTCAATTCTAGTAGATTATTCTTAGTAGTAATATGTTAAGCAATTTTTGTTTTCACTCTCTATCTTAAAGATATTGTTTGTCTTCAAATAGTATCAAGGGACATTTTGAGAACATGCGTTGCAAGTATTGGATTGGAACAAACCTAGTGTTTTACGCGGTAAATTTCAAGTTTAACAATCATATTATTAACAATTTATAGAGCTAAACAATGTAGCACTAACAAAGATATTAATATCAGCTCGAATTTCTTGGAATTGAACTCGTTGTAGAAATTAATAAAATATGTTTATTGGTACCGAACTAGTACATATTGTATGTAAAGCGTTTGGGCCAACTTGATCTGGACGACCAAATTGTAATTTAACGAATTTGTTCGTTTGGCTCGAGTTAGGTGAAACGTTTAATCTGCAGAATATAATAATGACAACTGGTATACAAGGAAGTAACTATATATCTGTAAATAGATATTAATATTTCGTATATGGAGATTTTTTGATATCCTCGAATTTTCGGTTTATATATTTATTCTTTCAGGTTACTTTTGGTTGAATTGGAATGGATATTCGGTTTTCTTATTGGAAATGTTATAACTAATGCTTCATTTTATTTTTGAGTGCCTTGAGAGTATGTCTGTAATTTTCATCTAAATTCCTTTCATCTTTATTTCTACAAGTATTTTTAAAAATAACATAATGGAACAGGCGGGCAAACATTGGGTTTCAGCCTATGAAGGTTTAAGAACAGAACTTTTTGCGACTAAATCATGTTTTTCGATTTGTTATCAAACAATCGTTATCTATTTTTCAGCATCATTAATTATAAATATTTAATTCATTTGCCATAAAATTTAAACCTAAAAAGTAATGTAGGTAGTGAAGTGAAGCTCAGAAGCTTCCACCAAAAAGATTCTTTCGGTGGTTTAAAATTAAYTKTCCAACGATTCTTAGAAACTTGTTCCAAAGAGTTATTGGGAGAGAGCACATTTTGCTGAAATAATGCGTTCTTTTCGTAGACTATTTAGGCATTTGGCTGAATGTAGTACCTGAACGTTCTTAGAAGTTAATCACGGAATAGAAAATAAAGAGAAAATTACAGTTCTTTGCAGATTTTCTGCAGCCAATAAGTAAGAACTATTATTAAAATGAAATACTGCAACCATTTTTAGTACAGGAAACGTGGGTCTTCGAATTTTACAAATAAAATTTGATTTGTTCATCAATATTTTAGAGTTTCAAACGTTGGAGACGAGTATAATAAAGTTACCTCCAATTCTGCAGTCTTCATAATTTAAAAACATAACACTTTTGTTTCATGTTAATATATTTTAGATATAGAATTATGATAAATTATAAAAGCAAACGTTTCCTCGTTTTATCCACAACTGATTTCTGTTTGCTGTTGGAGAACAGTTGCTGCTGGAGATGGCACATGAACCAATTGGATAAATGGTCGGGTGAACAGCTTATGTATAGGTACAGTTGGTTTGTCTGGATATCTTGGATCAATTTGTTTAATTATACGATTACATTGGCGTACTATTGGAAACTTGGTAAAATCATGAAATAYGWGTTATTACTGTATAAAAACGGACCTACGGCGAYATCAGACAAAAACAACACTATTTTTYACATGTGAATATTCGACTAAAACAAGTCCTYAAATCAAATTGAATTYTAAATAAAGCAATTTAATTTAATTTGATTTTTGTTATGCACAAAGCATTTCTTTTGCTACTTATRTTTTATATATAATTGWGTTCGKTATTTTTTTTCTACTTAGTGGCGCCTTTGGTTTTTGMATTTTATTGTTRTTCGTAAGTAAATATAATTTTTCTCTCATTTGCCTTTTGGMMTTCTTTCTGCTTTAGTTGCTAATATTTTGTTTTTATCACGAMCCACTTKTGTTGAGTTTTTCAGATATTTAGATCTTAAGCTATGAAATCTKGATTGGATAGCAAATTRATCAATGTTTTAGCATTTA